AAGCTTGTGTTACTACTTTGGTTACTCTTGTAGTTTTTCCTGGCTACTGCTAATTAGCCTGGCAGATCTTCCAATGTTTCTTACATGAAGTAGTATATGAATATAGCTACTTGTACTGAGTTATCATAATGTCCTTCTTTTTTTTTTTTTTGTATCCTCCTTAAAAATCTAAAAGGCACTTCAAAAACCCTTGTCTGAGCAAAGAAGGAGACCCAGCCTGTGATCTGATACTCAGATGATGTCTCTAGTGTAGTCAGTGGTGCTGTGTCCTGCACTTGGACTATCCCATAGCCTCTTGTCACCTCATGCAGTTCTTCTGGGATGTCCAGGTTAAAAATAATCACTCCATTGCTACCACTTTCCTGTTAGTTACCCTCTGAAAGACTTGCCCTCTCTCTCAATTACAATCTCAGCCTGTCTCTGACATCTCATTGGGATCCCAGCTCAGGTTAAAGAAAGATTCTCTCTCAAGCCCTCACTCCTGTTTGTGCATTTTTTTTTTTTTTTTTGTCTGTTGTAGGCAGTCTCACTCTCCTGCTTCTTCTTCGGCCTTGTGAATAACAGAGGCGGCTGGGCTGCGGTGACCTAGAGGTGTGGCGACTCTTGGGCCCACGCCTTGTCTCCCCAGGCTGCAGGCAGCGCGGAGAGCCCTGGCTCCCGCGGGGACCTCCGTGCAGGCTGGGAGCCTGGCTGCAGAACATGTCCTCTCCCCTGAGCAGAAGCCGGGATGCTGATTTCTCTCGGGAGGTGGCAGCACAGCCAGATGCGATCAGCATCTGCAGCTTGGCGCCCAGAACTGCAAAGGGTGGGTGGCAGGGAGGAGCTGGGGTTGGTGCTGGATTCCTTCCGAGATGGAGCTCCTTAGTTGGGAGCAAGGATTAGGATGGGAAGCACGGGGATGTTGATGCATAGGAGGGATAGCTTCAAGCCCTTTCTTGAAGCAGAGTGGAATCAGCCCAACACCCTCACTGTAACACGCTGGGGTCCCTCTATGCTGATCACACTTCTCTGTATCAGCTGCAGCGGATTGCGGTGTGGGGCCGAGATGCCCACTGTGGGGACAGTGTCACGTGCTGAGCCTACAGCCACAGCCCCAACTGCTTTTTTATTCCTGTGTGGGGAAAGGCTCTGCAGGAGATTGGGCACAGTCAGTATGTAACGTGATTTTTCCAAGCACCTACTTACCTGCAGACCACGATGGCTGCACGTTATTTTATCTGCAAGCTATCAAACAGCTTCAGGTTCATGAGAAAGGAAGAGCAACAATTAGTCACCATCCCATTAAATGCTACAACCTGCTCCTCTCTCAGAACCTCATCTGTTCCTTTTAGCCTGTTTGGAGGCTCCAGTAGTCTCCTGAGGTTTTAGTAATGGATTACAAAGCCAGAGGTACTATATGGGGTATAATGTGACCATCATCTGGAAAACATACACAGAGGCAGGAGGTTTGGGTTTCTGCAGAAACCAAGCACACTCTGGTCCAAAAATCTATGGGGTATATTGCTTAATCTACCCCTCTGGCTCTGTTATTTGAATTTGGCTTTCCTATGCCAAGCACACTGAATCAGCTGGAGATGCTACAGAGCCTTGTACAGAGCCTTGGTGGGAGGTTGTTTGCCTACTTTGTGCACTTTGAGAGAAAGTTTTGTGACAACATGGAATAACCGTAGATTCGGCTTTGCCCCAACAGTAATTTGTGAATGCTGTCTGTGGATTTGTGCATCCAAGAGCAAAGAGTGCTAGAAATCCTAACTTAGCCAATTCAAATGGTTTTACTAGCATCAGCAATTGGAGGGCAGCCAGCCAGCCCTACAGTTCTTTAAAAAGTAATAAAATACACCTGATTTTTGCTCCTTGGATGGCAACCACTGGCTGGCAACTCATCTTATATACCAGGTAATTCCTGCTTGATGCTGCTTAGGGCACTATTGAAACCATGCCTTAAGCAGGCAGCACTGAGAGGGTGAAGCACAGAAAGGCAACAGAAAACTCAAGGTTTATAAGCATTAGAAAGGGGCCACGTCCCTTTTTTTTCTCCTCTTTTCTCCTAGAAGTCTTGGAAGGCCCATTCTTACTCTCATGACTGTACAGTAAAGGAAAGTTGTTGCTCTGAAGCATTTGAAAGTGCTGCAGTTCTCTCTTTCAGAACAGTTTCTCTCCTAAGTGACACAAGTGCCCCAGAGAGATCCTGTAGTATTGAAGGATGAGTCGTGGTGGCTGGGAAGCAGAATGCAAACAGCTCAGGCAGTACGGACAGGAAAGCAAATCCATCTTTTCTCTCTGCATTTTCCTTCTGACACAGTTCTAGAGGATCCTCCTGCCACCATGTGGATCTCTCTCTTCTGGAGGGACAAGTTTTGCCAGTATGACCACCACCACGCCTTGCTGCAGAGAGCCAGGGCTGCGAGCACCTGTTCCATGGCAGTCCAGTCAGGCACATGCATTCAAAGAGTGCACACATGGAGGAGGGAAGCACTTGAGGGATAAATCCCACATGGGAAAATGTTGGCTGCAGAAAAATAAACAACGAACCACCAACAGAATGAATGTAAAGGAGAAGGGCAATGAGCAAAATGCAAGACAGTTTTTGAAAGGTGGCTGCACTGAGACACCAGGTTCTTGGTACCTTGTCTTTTGCAACAGTCTTTGACAAGTGGGAGAGAGTTTGTCTCATTTTAATTGGGACTAACCATATTCACAGCGGTTGTCACATGTCATCTAGTCTGTCTGTCTCCCTGCCTTTTCAGCTTGGCAGTCTCCTCTTTTTCCCCTGCATGTCCCAGAGATTTGAAAAATGATCCATTCTTCAAAGCATCGCTGGTAATTTGGACAACAGTGTAATATTTCTTTCGAGACTGATGCTTTTCAAAGCTGCAGCCTTTTTTCCTGCAGCAGCTGCTGACACCCCTCTATATTATATAGCCTTAAGAGGGGGAAAACAGGTCTGAGGGTCTGACTTTTCCTAGGAGGAGAGAGATTAGAGGTGGCACTAAAATCAAGAGAAAGCAGATTTCATGTACAGCAAAGAAGGTAACTTAGACCTTTTTATGAAGTGGAGGACTATACCATCACTAATTTGCCTTTGCAAAGCACACTTGAGATGTCTTTGTGCACTCCCCATTGTTGGTATTATGTATCTGCATACATGAATCAGCAAATATTAAATAAACATGTAGGTATATGTTCTGCTCTGCACCATGTTTGTTACCTTTTTTTTTTTTTTCCTGAAAACATCACCACCGTTTTAGGAAGACTTAACTCGAGATCTGAGTTGCTACATTGTTTTTGCTGCCAGATACAGAAAAATAAATCCACGCCATATGATTGTTGACTGCATGGCTGTTATCCACCGGCAACCACCTCCCCGTGGTGACATCAGCTGAGGTGGGGAGACTATAATTTTACATTGCAGCAGTCACTTAAAGTGAAAATGAATGTTAACATTTCTCTGGTATACATATGCCCTAGTCTACATGTTTGTTCAATGTCCTGGATTCCTACTGAGAAATGTCCTACTGGGGACATTACCATACACATTTAGGGTTAGAACTGATATTTCTATTAATAAGAAATCTTGCAAATTTTGCTTTGAAAAGAGCTATTTTTTTGAAGGTAGAAAATAAATTTTCTCAAGCACCCACTTCCTATTTTCAAAATATTCCTTTGCAATAGTCCTGAACACAGAGCAACAGGACAGAAACCTGAATTCTGTGCAGCTTCATGTTATTGTGAGCAACAAGAGCCACCCCATAACCGAGCAGCGTCCAGGGAAAGGGGCAGTTCAGTGAAATGGAAGCTTCCTATGTAGATAACTAGAGGTGTTAAAGGGTGTGTAAATGAGGGAGGGCATTTTTCTTCTTCAAACTTACCTTTATTGTGTAGGTAACTTTCACGCTCAGCCTGACCCTGCAAATATTTAGGTATGGACTTAAGGCACAAGTGTTACATGTCTTTCAAATATGAATCCTGATCCAAATATGAAAATTATTCCAACGTATCTAATGGCAGCATCATCTTGTTCTAACCCCAGGTCCCTCCTTTAGGTTAGGGTTTATTTGGAGACCGCAAGACACCCATCCCAGCAAGCACTGGTACGACAGGTACAGTACAGATATGGCTTGTCTGTATACGTGCAAGAGAATGCTCTTTTTGTACTTCTACAACCTCCTGCTTCCCGCATTCATGGAGTGACACAGTGTACAAATGGATTTGAAGGCGTTGACTCTCTAGAGACATCGCACATCCACAGGGACCTGCAAAGCTGGGTGACACTTCAGGACCTGCATTGTCCTTCTGGGGAGTGTATTCCCCTCAGTTTCTGTATCTTGCGGACTACTACCCCTGACCTTCTCGGGAACGTACTTGGAGCTGTACTGACGGAGGAAGCTCCCAGTACCAGCTCCCGGGCCCGTGTTCTCCATCTTTGCAACAGAACAGGCAGGGCTTGGGCAGCTCTGGCAGCACCAGTGAACCTGTGTTAATTGTAACTATTGTTAGCCCAAATCGCGCGCCGTAAGTGCAGCCTGGACGCTGAGCGTTCTGTCTCCGGTAATTCCATGTTCCGTTTAAAAAAAACTCTGGAGTGCAGGAGAACAAAAGGACCACAGCAGGAACCCCGCCGGACCCACCTCGTCCCGCACTCGCCAGGGGTCGATTAGGGTGGGCGAAAACAAGCCATAAGTTTACTAAGGGCCGAAGGAGGAGGGCAGGGAAGCAAATCCCAAGGGATTTCACAGAGCTGCTGTACGAAGCCTCAGGCAGCCACAGGCACAAGATGTACGTGCAATGATGACGTAACTGCGCGCGGCCCCGCCCTGACCGCCGCTTTACGGGGCGCTCACGTGACTGCACCCACGTGACCGCGCTCCCGGCCCCGCACCTGCCGGCGATGGGGGCGTGACGGGCGGGGGCGGGGCCTCCGGGGCCGCCCCTCCCACCCCACCCGTTCTTCCGCACCCTCAGCCCCGCCCTGCTGCGCACGCGTGAGCCGACTCACGCACCCAAAATGGCGGCCGCGATGGATGTGGACACCCCCAGCGGCACCAACAGCGGCGCCGGCAAGAAGCGCTTCGAAGTGAAGAAAGTGAGGCCCCGCCGGCGCGCTGCTCCGGCTGCTCCCGGAGGGACGGGGAGGGGCCGGGGTCGGCCTCGTGGCGGCGAGCGGGACGGAGGAGGGGGCGGCTACCCGCTCCCTTCACGGAGCCGGGCGCCCGGTTCCGCACCGGCGCGGCGGGAGGGGGGGCGGGGCCTTCGGGGAGCCCTGGCGTGCGTCCGGGCCAATGGCTGAGGCGAGCCGGCGCACGTGCAGCGGGTGCTGGCCAATCAGCGGGCGCGGCCGGCGGGGGCGGGAGCGGGGGGCGCTGAGGGGGCCGCGCCGGTCGGGGGTTGCCCCGGTCGGGGGCTCCGACGCTCGCTCCTTTCGGGCGCAGCCGTCCCGACGGGCCTCGGCTGCTCCGTGCCCGGACCCTCTGGGCATTTCGGGATGGGGAGCAGGGGTGGAGTGCTGCCGCCTCCCCGTCAGCCCCGGCCGCTGTGGCCCAGCCGCCTGAGTTGTCCCATGTGCTGTGTAAAATGTAAATGGCTGTTGCTGACTTTTTTCTCCTCCATCGTCTCTAAATCGAGCCGTAACAACGTGTGTGTAGTCAGAAAATGCTCTCCTGTCACCCTGGCTTTGCCTGCTCGCTGAGAGCAGCCATAATACCGCTCCTTGTCCAGTGCCACCAGTTTGTCAGCTGGATCGTGGATAGTCCGAGCCTGCTCACGAAGGCATAGAGAAGTAGGGGGAGGCTGTGTGGGCTTGTGTTGAGGTATGATTTGAGGAAAAGTGACCCCTGAATTGGATATCAGTAAACGTTTCCAGGGGTTCCCACTTGTAGATGAGTTTGTTTGCAATGCAGCTGCCATCAGTGATGATGGAAGCCCCAGATCTGTGCATGGCTGCAGATCTGTGCAGGAGGAGGTGTTTGGGTGACATGATTGTTTGCCCTTTGGAAATAAGGACAGATATAATAGCACATGTGAGGAGCAGGAAGTGGCACCGTTTATGTGTCAGTGGCATTCCTCCTCCCCAGCAAGGTACCAAGGCCTTTGTTACATGTGTGGCTCAGTACAGGTCTGTGGGTCATCGGAGCAGATCACAATGGGACAAGAGATTAAATACCTGAGTGTGTGCAAGAAATAAGGGGGCAGAGAACTTTTATCTCAGCTGCCTTTAAGTGTGGATGAAGTCCAATAGAGATGAATACCTCAGCCAGAAGGCCAGCTAGACTTGAAGTTGGAAGATGGGGAGAAAAAATGAGATGACTAGTGATGCATGTCCTAAACGATCTAGTAGTAGTGTGAATACTTTTTACATCGGCACTAATGAAAATTTGAAGTGCTTATCGAAGTCGGTATTGCTTATCAGTACTTGGCAATCTGCATTCCTCCTTCAGAGTCCCAAACTGAGGGAAAGCAATGAAAACATTGAGATGGAAATGGAACACAGTAGAGAAGATTTACTATAGTACAGTTGATACAATCATATACTAAAAAAATATAGAGGAAAAAAAATCTAGACTATTTAAGTAGTAAATGAAGATTATCCTGATTACCAGTACGATTATCTTGGATTGCTTTGAATATTGAAGGCAAGCCCATTTATTTAAAGAGTTTACAAAAGGCCTGATTATCGATTTTGTGGGGAGGAATAAAAAGGCACTATGTTTTTCTGCATAGTGTGTCTTAAAGTCCTCAAACCCTTCCCCTGAAGTAGTATGGGACAGTGATACTACTTTTCATATATATATATATATATATATATATATAAACAAAGTCTTTGAAAGGTTAATTTGGTAGTACTTTTAAATTTTTATATCCAGCCTTGCTGATAGATCATTGCTTATTAACCTTTTATAGGGAAGATTGTTCAGCAGTCTGCAAAGAGTAGTGTTAGAGATTTAGTTCTTGACCCCAACTGCTCTGGGGAATGATTACTAGAAAAACTGCTGCAAATGGTGGGAATTCCTCTTAATAAAATGGCATCTGAATTGGCCTTTCTCCAAGAGACTGTCCCTTCCATCAGAATCGTGGATTTGGCATGAGCTGCATCCTTGCCTTTGGATCTTGAGTAGAAATCCAGACGTTTGCATTTGTTTCACAAAAAAATAAAAAAATAAAAAAGGAGAAACTGTGAGAGTTATCTCATTTCTGAAGTGGGAAGGAGACATTGGGTCTGGGAGGTTTGTCAGAGGAATGTAACCTGAACTCATGATGAAGAGTTACTCTGGACTTCTGCATTTATTTTTTTCTTAATATCCTACTTTTCTATTTAAAAACATACATGGGCTCTTGAAGAATAACAAGGATTTCTGTGTACTGTAAATTGAATCAAAACTGTTTTTCTTTTTTTCCCCCTCTCTCTAGTGGAACGCCGTAGCTCTGTGGGCATGGGACATTGTGGTTGATAACTGTGCCATTTGCAGAAACCACATTATGGATCTATGTAAGTAAACGGTTGGGAACACAGCTGACAGTTTGAACTTGTGTTCAACAGCTGAAATTTCCCCAGTCGAGGATATAATTCAGCAAATAGAGCTTTCAGTTAGGAACTAAGTCTTCTACTAAGCTCTATTTTATGTAACACTGAAGTCCTGTAATCTACGTTTGTAACTTCTGTCACCATACTGCTTTTCCCCTCACGTTTTTTTTGTAAAGAGTAGAATCACTTGATGCCACATCAACAGACAAGATGATGTTGCTGAGTGTATTTTGGATGCAACAGAGAGAAAAAGAAGTACTAGTAAAGAGCCATGAGGAATTGAAATTATTCAGGGTCAACAGACATTGCTCACAAAGAGAGGTATTATATTTTGGAGTTGGGGATGTTGCTATAAGTATCAACTTTTTGATGCTACTCATGAAGCCTTGTAACACTCTCTGTGTCTGGCCAGGAAAGGCATGGATCAGCAAATCAATCTGACTCATCATTCTACAAAACCTACCTTGTCTAACTAAGTCAGTGTGTGTTATAGTAGGGGGAATTTTGTAGCCACCTAAAGAATTAATTGTTCATTTACAAAGGAGAGTAATCAAATCCCAAAATAAAAAACAATGCATTGCTACTATTGGTTTGATTTTATTTTTTTTCTTCCCCCCCAGTAATCTGGATGATTCATTTCTATCACAAAATAGGTGTGGATGCATGAAGTCACTGATTTCAGTACTTTTAAGTATTGGTTATGAGAATAAACCCTTTTTTTCCATCAAAACTGACAAGATACTGTTGGCACCATCTTGTTTCAGTCATGAGGGACAGAAGACCTTTTAATATACCCCAGACAGAAATTTTCCTATATTACTAAGATATGAGGATAGTGGAATCCCCCAAAACAAGCAGAGGTGCAACTGCAGTGCCTGGGGATGGCCTGTCATGATCCCATCACAGTATTTTGTTGCACTTTGTTTTTATGTCGTTGGTTTTGGAACTACATCCAATGGTAACTTACTGTCAATAAGCCTGTGTGAAAATGAAATATATCACAAAAATGAGACTTCAAGTTTATAGTAACAGCTGGTGGGAGATGCACAATGTTTTTATATACATCATATTTAAATAATAATTACAAAACTACTTTCTGAAATTTTGTTGGGTTTTTTGGGTTTTGGGGTTTTTTTATAAAGAGAAAACACTGGTCTGAAAATGGGTTAAGCAAGTTCAGTTCTCTTCTTTGGGACTGATATGTTTATATTTTGAGCCAGCTACTGCCTATCCATGCCTCAGTTTATTCGTAGTTAAAGGGAATGATAACATTAAAAGGAACAGGGATTATGAAATATACTGAGATCCTTTGATATAAAGATTTCCTCTTCAAGTGCCTCTAACCAGTATCATCTTGGAAAGTAGTTTCAAAAGGAGGTGGACACTGGACTACTACTTAATCTCTCAGGTTTATAATATATTAGAGAGGAAAGCATGTTGCTGGCAGGCAAATGGAATTTCGAAGATTTGTTAGAATGTAAGTTACATTTATAGAAGTTACAAATATATAGAATAAATATATAGAATCCTTTAAATCAAGGTAATTATTCACCATAAGTGGGATGCATTGTAAGGTAGTAGATGCTGCTGTTTCATTCTATGAATCTACCTCAAAATTGATAGTGCTTTCCATGACAGACCAAATACAGTCTCATGTATTTGCTATTTTTCTTATAAATAGCAAATAGGACATATGGGGATGAAGGAGAGGTGTGGAGGAGCTGAAAGAAGAATGGACAGATGCTATTTACCAGTAATGAATTTTGTTTGTCGGTTCTTAAAAACAAAAAAAATTCAAAAAGTCCTACCAAAATGTGGGTGGGGATTGAGAGTATATAGGTAGGTTAGGAAAAACAGTAAAGGAAAAGGGCATAGGTAATTTTTTTTTTTCTTTTTTGAGTTACTCAAGCATTACTTGTTATTAATTTGTGTATGAGCAGTGTTATGAAAAGCCTGGACTGCAAATGACAGACCAAAATTGACAGTATACAGAGTAGAAGGGATATCTAAATTGGTATTCCGAGATCAGTGTTGGCTCTGGATTTACTTACTTCCTTGTTACAGATCATTAATGTTGTTAAACAACCCTTTAATTAGATTTTCAAACATAAGATGTGAAGTGATGGCAAATTGAGGAAAAATTAATAGAATGTGCAGGGAAGAACAGCACAAGATTTGATTTGAGAAAATGCAGGATACAAATGTCTCCCACTCCTAGCGACGAAGGGAAACCTTGAGTGGGAAAACATTAAAAGAGTGATAAGTAATGCCAGCCGTGGTAATGGAAGTTTGTTAACATTATTAAGTCAGGCATCAGTGTTAAGGCATCCTGCAGTTCTCCTTGTGCATGTGCCTTATGACTCGGTAATAGTGTGGCTGAAGAATTCCCCCTGCCCTCAGTTTGTTTTGTATTCAATGTACAGAAGGAATGAGTAGATTTTCAGTGTTTTGGTTTCATTCTTCTCTGGAAAGACCCAGGTCCTGTTTAGACCTTACTTTAGCCTTTGTTCAAAGGCTTGCTCTCTGGTGCTGTTATTGCAGCATGGTAAAATGAGGAGTGTTGCCTGAACATTGCATTTAGTATATTGGATTATCTTCAGGTCTTCAAATATGGAATGTAATATTGTAGTAAGGTGATCAGC